AAATTTATTTTTGTATTTATCTTTACACAAAAACTGCATTTTCAACCGTATGCCTGCTTTGTTGTGTGTCCTGGTCTTCAGAAGTTTTCCTAAAGCACATTTATTCACTAAAATGCGACTCTGGGGCTATTTCCACCACCAGGAATCAACCATTTGTTATTTTGTCACCGCGATTTTTGCCTGTATTTTCCCTCCCAGTGTCCAACTGGCCTCTGATGAATGTGTTAAATGAATAAAATGCACACTGCAGGTGAAAGACTTTTAAACCCAAACATCAGAAATGGACCGACAGCTCCACATCTCATCCAGTAAAGGACCAAAACAAAGAAAGCTCTGCTGGAGTTTTGGTATTTTAAAGACCGAATACAGTTTTCCAAACACCAAAGAAGGCATCTGCAGCCTCTTTAGGATAGTTATGATCAGATTTGATCATTTTACCTGCACTGTGCCACACAGGAGCCAGACTTATGAGCACGTGGGTGCGCCGACACCGCCCTCTGCTGGACGGAGGCGGTACAACACGTTAATTTACCCCATTTTGGATATTTTTGATTTCATGAAAAGTAGATCCCTTTTTTTTTTTATCATGGGTTCAGATCTCAGGGGAGAGGGGTCCGAAAAGCCAACAGGTGAGTAAACAGGAATCATTTTAAGCTTAGAAAAAAGCCAGTTTAATACATTTTTATTACAAAATCTGGATTTGTTCAAAGACTGTGTGAGTAAGGGCTGAAAAAACAAAATATTTTGTTATTGCTTTGATCAAAAAAGGGAGAAACAACAGCAAAAACAGCTGGCATCATCTCGTCATCTCTCATTTAAGATATCTTAACTGTATTAATAATGTATATTTGAATAAATAGCAAAAAGCGTGTCGTCTTTGCACCATTCAAAGTTACATAAAGAGTTTTCTTTGTCCAAAAGGCAACGGCCTGAGCATCCGAACCGATGCCACCTCTGACCGGACGCCTCTGGGAGACTTTAGCTTCGCCGTATTGAGCCACATCACACAGTTGGACAGCTTCGGCCTCTTGTGTTTTCTTTGTTTTGTCTGTTTAAAAAAACATTTTCCTGCATAGCGTCACAAACGTTTCCCAGCAGAGTCGATTCTCTCTGAGGAATCAGACTTTTCTTCTCTTTTAGGTGGATTTTCTACATTTCTTTGGCATTTTAAGTGGATGTTGGTCATCCGGGTGGCTGGTGATCCTGAGAGGCTTCATGCAGGCAGCTGAACTCCATCTTCTCTTCTTCTTCTTCTTCTTCTTCGATCTTAAAAATGTTTCACCTCTCACCTGAAAGGCTTAGTCATCACTTTCCAGCTCCTCGGGAGCTTTCGGCCATTCACAGCCTGGATCCTGTGAGAAAAACTAACCTTTCAGACTGTTAAACGACCCACAGGTGAGAAAAACTCTCATTCCATGGAGTTTAGAGCTGAGGAAGGCTTCAGGATGAGAGGAGAAACGTCCTTAGGTCCAAAAGAAGAAGAAGAAGAAGTCCAGCTGCCTTTAAAAGACTAAGAGGATCTGATCTGAAGATGCTCTTCAGTCTGATTTAAGGCCTCAGCCGACCCGATAAATCCACAACCGACTGAGAGCGTCTGGTTTGGTTCAGATCACCATCTCTACCTCACAAAATTCAGAGGAAACCTCCTAAAACTTCGAGGCGACGTCCATTAAGGCTGTTGTCTAACGAAGCCAATGGGGTTTCTCTCACCGGGCCTTCGGGGGGGGGGGCTGGGGGGGGGTCACTTCAGCAGGCTGGTGAGGAAGCTGGAGGCCAGGACCCCCCCGGCCAGGACCAGCAGCATGACCATCAGCGTGAGCCCCCGCCGGAGCAGCAGCTGCCGCACGGGCAGGACGGCCCCCACCGTGGTGGAGCGGCCCGCCTCCGGCACCGGGCCCTCCGGGGGCGCCTGGGCCTCCTCGTCCCGGCCAGACGCCGCCGCCCCGGGCGGGTTCTGGGTCTGGCCGCAGCCTGCAGAGTCAGAGGGAAACCATGAGAGGACATCCAGGTCCTGGAGGAGGGTGGAAAGCTCAGTTTGAAGTTTTCTAGAAGACGTTTGGCCTCTGATCCAGAAGCTTCTCCAGCTCTAGCTGATGGTGGAGCTCTGAGTTAATATACTGTAGGTGGAACTAAAGAATTAAGGGTCCCTCCTGCTGGGGGCTATGGAAGTCACCGGGGGGGTGCTATTGGTGGTTAGCAGCTAAATGACCAGAAATAAGTAAAAAAAGTAGCAAGAAATACAAAAATAAGTTTAAAAAAGCAGAAAAAACAACCAAAAACAAGTCCAAGAAGTAACAACAAAAATAAATTAGTTTGAAAAAAGCAGCAAAACAACCCAAAAGAAGTAAAAGAACTAGCAAAAAAACAAAAAAGAGTTAAAAAAAACAGCAAAACAACCCAAAAGAAGTAAAAGAAGTAGCAAAAAAGCAAAAATAAGTTAAAAAAATCAGCAAAACAACCACAAATAAGTGGTAGAAGTAGCAATAACAGTAAATGAAGCAACACAATAAAAATGTAGAATCCACTTGTTTTGACAATCTATTTATCTATCTATCTATCTATCTATCTATCTATCTATCTATCTATCTAT